CCCATTTGTATTTGGTTATTAATTATAATAATAACAATAACTAAAATTTTACTTTTTGATCATTATTAAATATAATTCTCAAATTTATAGAAATTAGTTAAAGAGTTTTCAATTTCTAATAAAATGTTGTTAATGAGTTAATTAAAAACAATATTTATTAATTTTTGGTAATTTACTAACCATATTTATTAGCTTTTGTAATAGCACTATTTAATACTCATTGAATATGGGTGGGATTAAATATTAACTGTATTTAATTATTTATCAATTAATATAAACATTTTAAATGGGGGATAGATTGGGGGGATGCATTTTAGGAATTGATTAGGGAGTGGGGCAACATGTTACTTTCTTATTGGTTTAAATGAGATACCTTAAGAGAGAGATTATAGGAATATTTTTAGGAAGTTGGGTGACATGGCTTAATGGGAGTGGTGGGAATGGGAGAGGAGAGAAAGTCAAAGAGAATGCAGGGTGGGGATAATGGAGCAGGGAGAGGCATGGTGACGGGACCCATGTGATACACGGGCTTTGTTAAGCGAAAGTTAAACAATAGAAATACATAAGAGTATATAATTGTTTTATATTTTAACTATTTAATAAACAATCCGATCAAGCTCAACCTGAGTTGGTCGGTTTCAGATCGACTTTGGTTTAAGAAATATATATATATATATATTATATTTTAAATTTAATTTTTTTAATACGGGAAAGTATGAAAATTCCCATATTTCTTAGTCTACTAAAATATTTTATATCATAGATTTAATTTTTGTAATTTAATTTTTAATAATATCATCATAATTTATGAAATTTAAAGTTAATTTTTAAGTTTAAATCTTTTGAACAAACAAACTAAACCAAAAATAGACCCAAATCGATACAACCCGAGTTGGTGGGTTTTCACTAATTGTCAATCGGTTTCTAGTGACAAACTACGGACTTGACCAGATCGATTTGGTTGGCAAAACAGCCTGCAACTGAACTAAACCAATCATTGAACACTCCTAATTCTAACTAAATTTATAGTCTAATCTCTAATAAATAACGATAGTTTAATCTCCAATAATTATTGAAAATTTATAGYRAAYGTACACAAWCATTGAAAATAAGTWTATAATGAAAATATAATAGATATATAATAAAAATACAATAATTACAAAAATATAATAAATACTGAAAAATATACTAAATTAGGCAATAAATAGTGTAATCTTAAATAATAGTTTAATCTCTAATAAGTACTAATCTATAAATTATAAAAAATATATAATTACTAAAAATAAATTTATAA